CCCATTAGCCTCATTCAAGATGGATTTCATATAGTGTGTGCTGAATGGAGACAGAAATGTCGATGACAATCACTGCATAAACTCCCCTATGAGAGCTAGAAGAAAAACTGTAGACAGACTTAGCAGAATTAAGAAATGAATTAAATGAGAGAGGAGATGTAGAGGAAAAGACCAGAGCTAGAGCTATACCCATTTTGAAAAGGGAATATTCATCACATGTGCATGGGAATCTGGAAAGAATTTAAAAGTCACCGCTATCTATAAAACAACTAGATACAGAAGAAAATATTTGCTCAGTTAATTACAAAAAATTATAGCAAAATCTTCATCATACAGAAAACTAAAAAGGCAGTAGTGACTTGTGTAGTCACTTATATTGGGAGGAGGTAGCTACTTACTTGACAATTGATGTTGGCGATAGTTTCACACCATTTGCGTAGTCCACAAGTATATTCAACCTATGCCCCATGGGCCACATGCATCCCAGGATAGTTATGAATGTGGCCCAACACATTAGTAGATGACAGCATCATGTTGCAATGTGAAAGGTTGAGCCCTCCTGTATGTAATGTGTAATGACTGTTCATTTGTGAACATATGAGTAGTTGTACCATTTGTCCTTTTGTGTAATGACTGTTCATTTGTGAATAGATGGGTAGTTGTACCATTACCAAATTCTACTTTGCCGCATGAGTTTTTAGAGGTTCTCTACTCAAGAAAAATAATGTTAGGTCTAGTTTGGGTATTTTTCTATTATTCTTTTTGAGGGTTTCATCTCCCTTGTGAAATCTCATCTTCTTTAACTTCTTAAATTTTACCAAGAAATTCCATTTTATGGTAATAACCATCTCACATGTATATTATGTCACACTACCTGTGCCGCCCCCTTATTGATCCTATGATCATCAGATGCAACTCTTCCTGGGTCACTTCCCTTCTATATAAGCCTAGTCTTTCCAGAGGAGCTTTATATTTCTATTGTCTTCCCTTACCAGAAACTTGACTCTTCTATCCCAATGCCCATTGGCAACATTATTCACAATAGGCAAAATGTGGGAAAGACCAAATGTCCATTGATGGTTGAATAGAAAAATCAGATATGGAATCTACGTGCAGCAGAATTATTATTTCTCTTTTAAAAGGAAGGAAACTCTCTTATATTCTACAATTGGATGAGCTTGAAGAGCTTATACTAAGTGAAATAAGACATACAGAAAGACAGTTACCCTATGATCTTGCTTCTATATAGTATCCCAAATACATTCATAGAGACAGACTGTAAGATGGTAGCCATCGGGAGGTGGAAGAAGGGAAGGTGACACTTTACTGTTACGTGAGTGGAGAGTAATGAAAAATTGTGAAGTGGAAGGTAGGGATCACAACACAACAACATGATTGTACTTGATGCCTCTGAACTATATTTAAAGGGAAATGTCACAATTCCTAAGTGTAATAAAAGAATCTAAGAAAGTAAAAACAATAAAAAACCATATTCACTTCTCTCCTCCTTAGGCAACCTTTACCTTCCTCTCTGATTTTTTTTCCTATAAGCAAGCCAAGTTTCCCTGGTATCAGTCCAGTTGGAAACCTCCTTGTTCAGTATCCCCTCTACCTCCAGCTCCCACCCTGCCAGCTCAGCCTTTTGAAAGAATTGTACAGGGTCACAGCTCTATAACCTGCCATTATTCTGGACAACCTGACTTGTTCCTCACACCTTTCTATTGAACCCTGCCCAGACTAAAAATGGTTCTCAGGATGCCAAATCCAGTGAACACTTGTCAGTCTTCCCCTCATTGGACTGCTCAATAGCATTCCCATCTGTTGACCATGTTATCCTTGCACAAGCCATTCAGATACTTTTGAAAGCACACTCTCCTGATGTTCTTTCTTTATCTCTGGCCATTTCCTACCTCTCTTCTTTTGCCTCCCTCCTTATGCAACCTTTATATGCCACAGTTCCATAGACTTGTACCTGAGCCCATCTGCTTTGGTTTTTCAACGGCGTGCTAAAGTCGTGTTTAATCTTGAACTTTTTCTCCCTTTCTGTTAACTCACCAGTTCTTCTGCTCTCCGTGGCCATTTCTGTAGCCCAAGCCACTAGGAAAGCCAACCCCTGATACCCAACTTTCTCACCTACTGACAGTGCTTCTCATTACCCTGGCTCTGACTCTGACATTATACTTCCAGCTCTCTCAGACCCTCAGCCTGTGCTTTTTCTATTCACATCCCATGCAAGTGCCTCTGGGCTTCACTGCCCTAGTCTTCTTTTACTGCCTGAAAGGAACCAAGCCTTTCCCACTTCACAGTCTCTATGTGTGCTGCATCCGTACTAAGGATTTCCACCTACTCTGCTTGTCTAGAACTTCCTAAACTTGATACTCAGATTAATGCCATTTTCTCAGTGAGGCCTTTCCCAATCAATCAATTCTCTATTATTATCTCGCTTAAGATCCTCTTTAATGCCTTTCACACTTTGTGATTATATATTCATGCTTGCTTTGTGACTGTCTTTTCAGTTAGAATGTAAATTCCATGCCGTTGGTAGATAGTCTTGTATCTCAATGTGGTAAAAATCTATATCAAATATTTATGGTAATATCTGACACATAGTGCATCCTAATAAGTACTTTTTAAAGGAATGAATGAATGTAAGGAAGAAAAAGGAGGGAGATGGAAAGAAGGGAGGGAGGAAAAAGAAAAGAACAGAAAAGGAAGGAAAAGTTTCCCTTGAAGCTGCTTCATGTAATCTCTATAGAAATGAGCAGGGTCAGGTGTTTTAAGTGAACTCACAATTCATGAAAGTCTAAATTTGCATAAAGAATATGTTGAAGGTGATTTTTTTCACTTTACAAAAAGATCTATCATGGGATTCTTTAAACAGACTACCTAGGTACATGTAAAATAAGATTTTATTGATTGAAGACATATGCGTGCACAGAATTTTTTCAGCAAAGTATCTTTTATATAAAGCCAGGTTAACCTATAATCAATTTCCTTAAGGCACCTAGCCCAGAATAGGTAACTCTCAAATTTCTAAGGTAACAAACAGATAATGAGAGGCCTGGAATGCAGGGGCTGTTTGGAAACTTCTAGCATGCAAAGCAGTGATTGTAGTCAGGCAAGGGCCTCATGACTTTTCTCACAAAAATAGCTAATAGGGAGATGAACCTCCTTAACTCTCCTTTCTGTATCTCAGGTAAGCCAGGAGGGCTACAAAACAACTTCCCAAAGGGCTGCTATGGAAAGGAAAGGGAGGCTAGTAGAAGTTTCCAGACTGATGCTTCCCTTCTCCAGTCTCAAAACTGCCCCCCACCCCTACCACTGAGACTGAGGACCAACTCATCTGACTGCAAAGCGGGGGGGGGGGGTGAACTCACTTTTCTCGGTTTCAGTTCCTTTGTTTTAAAATGTGGGGGTCTTTTTCATCATCATTATTCCCTAATTCTGTTCTTAAACCTTCCCAAACTTTATAAAACAAGGTTACCTGTAACCATTCACTCTAACAAGATAAAGTTTATAGCTATTTCTGACCTTTTTATTGGGCAGAAAATTTAATAAAGATCATAAACTTTCAATAAAAATATTTATAGTATTTGTGGAATTGGTTGAATTAGTAGGCAGTTCTTGATAAAAAGAAAATACTTTGCAGAAATTAAAACTAACAATCAAACATATTTTGCTGTGGTGGGAACATAGTAAAACTCTTGAAAGCAGCTCAAGTGAAATAGTTTAGATACCAAAGGAAAAAGTATGTGTGGGGTGTGGTGATAAAGATCAAGGTAAACTAGAGCTAAGTTACTTTTGTCCTTCAAAAACAAGGCTGCTTTTATCTTAGACATCCAAATTTTGAATTAAATACAGGCCATGGGAAAAAGCAAGCTTATAGTTTTGGCAGCATCTTGCTCTCATCAACTTTCCAAGGCATTATTTCTACCCTGGCTCCCCACAGTTTTGCATTTTCTATAAAATGTTATTATAGTCAATAATATCTTGAAAGAAGAATTATTTATCCAAGTGATGTACTAAGGTGCTAACTTCTCTTGTGAACAGATTTATAGTAATAACAATCTCTAAGCCTCTTCTGAATTGTTTGAGAAAGCTATAGAATCTATTCATGGAAATATTATTTAGATGTCTATAGAGGGGTCTTGAATACATCAGCAAATCTGAATTATATTTGAAAGCTAATGTTTACATATTTTTGTCTGTATTTTTTTCTTGGTTTCCTAGCTACTTCTAAAAATGATACCAGGTCATATCTTTAGTGGAGAATAGGAATGGAGTTAAGAAGGCAAGCAGAATACAAAGGGGCAGGAGAAAAGGGTCTGGGGCCTTAGGATGGAACTAAACTAACAGAACTAAAGCGTAGAGTTGACCAAGGTCCCAGGACTAGACTTGAATGTAGGAGAGGAACTCCAGTAGTAGAAACAGACAGGGGAGAGGGCAGTTTGTGAGAGAGAACTTATTTTCAACTTGCAATTTCAATTAACAAATCCTAATACCAGCCATGGCTTGAACCAGTAGAAGTGGGAATCGATGCTCAGAAACCCTTGGAGCTTCTGGGCCTTCCCTGATAAAAGGAAAGCATTGAAGTAGGTGTTTAGTAATGTCACCTGTCATTATATAATCACGTAAATTTAACCTTAAAATGGCAATGGCACAGGAGTTTGGAGACCTGGTTAGAAAACTGGTTCATCCTTAGTTCCCCATGAGTCACAATCCATTTTTTTATTCTCCACTGAATTAAGAGTTCAAAATCAAAAGTCTCCTAGTCACATGATATTATGTTTAGTACATAATAGATATCTGAACGAAAAGAAGAAAGAGGAGAGAGACTGTCTCTGTGTCACTTTTTTGCTTTCATTATCTTACTCTCTTTTATGCAACTGATCTTGTATGATTTAGAATAAAGAACTATGGCTTAATGAGGTCATATCATATATATCTTAAGTTTGCTGAATAAACTATGTGGGTATTAACTGTCTCCTTCCTCTCTCTAGATTTGGAAAGAAGAAGGAGGAGAAGAGTGGGAAGGTTGAGCAGACAGGGATGCGGAAGCCCCAGAACCTGGCGGAAGAGGAGCTGGAAAGAATGAAAGAAAGGGACTGGTGAGTGGAAACTCAGCCTTCCTTTGCTTGACTCTAGGATCTGTGTTTAACTCAGCAATTTACAGCAATCAACAGGAGAGATTTTACTTTCAAAAGCATAGTGGAAGACTAGTACCAAAGGAAAGGCACGTGACAACTACAGCCTGCCTTTCCAGGGAATCGGCATCACCTTTGTAAGAAGACATCATCGTCTCGTTTTTCTTTATTAGTCCCTATAATACCCTACTAGGATGCTCCCAGCACTCACTCCCATCAGTGCGCATTTTCCTGAGATTTAAATGATGGATTTTGTTCTTGTTAATCCAAAGGTCATTTCGATCTCGATGTTTAGGATTCTCAAGTTCTTGTAATCTGGTCCTCATTTTTGACAGCCTGTTGTATGCCTTCTTAATTTTATTCTGTTAACTCCCTTTGGGTCATGTAATTTGAGAAGTACACGTCCTCCATTTTTTAAAAGCCACTGTCTTTTATTAGGCTATCAGCAAGCTGAAAAGTATGCTGCCCATCTGTTAGAGGGCTGGCTTCATTTGTTGCAGTCGGTTTGCAAGGGCTGAATTCTCCTATCTCCATTCAGACAAGAGGTCCTTCACATGTCTTTGATGTTAACTCTGGCACTTATCCCAAGTAGATGTGCAAATGACTGATTTTAAAACATATAATTGAATATTCATACTTCGCCTGAAAATTCTTTGCCTCCCCAACTAAATAAAGCTTGGAGAAAGACTAAGAGGAAGCAAAGCTAGCATCTAATTTAAAGTATTTGATTCTGACTTCCCATTAGAACTAAGATTTATCCAAATCTCCTTTCCTTATCAGCTTTGTTTTTGTCCTTATGGTTTTCAGAGTCTGTTCTTATTTTTTAAATTAATTAATTAATTTTTATTTTCTGTGTATGAGTGTTTTGTCTGCACCATGTGCATGCAATGCCTGTGGAGGCCAGAAGAAGGCATCAAATCCCCTGAAACTCGAGTTAGCCATCACGTGGGTGCTGGGAGCTAAACCCAGGTCCTCTGCAAGAGCAGCCAGTACTCCTAACCATTTCTCCAATGCATTCATGTATTTTATAGCCTTAGTATGTGATTTATAGGACACAGCAGTGTAAGAGTGTCTACTGTTAACCTTTAACACTAATTCTGCAGTCAATTACTGTTAAGAAGGCTGACTTTATCAATGGGGGGTGATGGGAGGCTATATAGTCCTTTCTCATTTTTGAGAGATTGATAAGTGCCATTCCAGAGTCACTAGAGCAGCTAAAAGGAAATCAAGGGTTTTGCATTATTGTTGACTATTCACCTGAGAGAGCTACCCCAAAGATAAGAAAGATACTCTCCTTCATAGCCCAAGATTCAGTAATCCTGTAATGTAAATGTAATCCAGCTCAAATCTTAATGTGTGTATTATCGAAGACATCTTGAGTAGTGAGCCTGCATCAGAGATTTCTGCTGCTCCCTGACTTCATTTATTGAGACTGTGGTCCTTGTCTCAGCTTCAGGAATCTGAGCTGTTTGCAAAAAGGCAGGCTAGACACTTTAGAAAACTCAGTACTTGCTTGAGATTCGTGGGGATCTCTAAGTAGCTGGGGGCCTATATGCCAGCTAGAAAATTGATAACTCATAAAATAAGGTGGGTTGTTTTTAAGCAAGAGTTCATTTCCTTTCTGGTTTTACCTTTAGGAAGCAGGTGTCTGAGGGAGTTTTTTTCTTAAAAGTAGGGCTCTAAATTTGCCTCAGTTAACTGTATAGGCTTCAGGTCCAATTTTCTTTAAATGTTTCTGGTCAAAGTATTGAAAGAATTATGTTATTCGCCTGTACTTAGGCTGCCTCCCACACATGAACACAGAAAATACATCTGAAATGGCTCTCCTAGAGACAACATTGTCTCAGGAGCTGGGGAAGAAGAAAAAGGAGCTGATTTTATAGCTGGGTGCTACAGAATTCATGGCCATGGCATTTCAACACCCAGAGGCTGAGGGCTGTGGAGGATGGAGGCAAAGGCTGAACATATGGTGGTGTTCTCAACCCTGGAGTACTGTTCCATGGCTGTCCATCATCTATAGGAAACCAATTCTCAGCTCTCAAAGATCTCAGCAAGTGTATCCCCCTTCATGAAAAGTTGTCATGGGGGCTGGGGGATAGAAAGAAATAGGAAATGCTGATTAAAAGTTATTACTGTGCTTTTTTTTCTTAATATAATAAAAATTAGTTTTCTTAAAATTAATCAGTTTTATTATTTACTTATTCTGTCATAGCTCTCATCAGCATAATGGTTTTTCATTATCCTTTCCATTTTCAAAGTATTTAAAACCTTATAAAGTATATATTGTGGAGCATTGGAGCCAATAGTTTATCAGGGCCAACTATTGAAACCTCAGAAAATTTACAAGGTGGTTATTAACCCACAGGTCCTTTGAAATGGGCATACAGAAATTAGAAAATGTAATAAATTGGGATGTTTTTAAAAAATCCAGTTTGCCAACACACCAGCTCGGGCCTAAGTCAGTTCCTTTTAGTGTACAACTAGGAAGAAATTACCAGAAACTAGAGGCAAGAAGGGAAAGAAGGGTCTAAATCAAACCATAGTTGTGGTCTGTGGACCACCTGTGTCCAAATGAATCCCTGAACCTCATCCCAGCCTTGAAGAATACACATCTTGGGAGATGGAGCCCAGAAATTTTTTAATAGATAAATCCAGCATTCTAAGGTCTGGGAACCACCGGTTTGGAGGTTAGGATGTGGCTGGAAAGTCAAGCTATTTTTCCTTTATGAAAAATGATGCACAGAATTTTTTTCCCTAAGATTGATTCAGTCTCTTAAATATCATCATCATTCCTCATGTGCTATCTCTGAACCACCCTACCTGGCTGTCATGCTCTTCCCTAGTCACATGGGCAGTCCTTATCAATACATCTACCCCAACAGAAGTCTCTTTCCCCAGAACTAGCACCCTACACCACAGACTTGACAAAAACACATGAACACATTAAGAAAATGTTGGAAGCATAAAAAGTATAAAGATTATTAAAATCATAAATAATTCCATCACAATCCTATAGCCATTATTAGTATTTTATGATCTTTTTCTATACCTTCAATACCTACATATTCTTTGAAAACTTGATATCCATTCTGCATATGTAACACCTTTATGCTTTCACATCATTTTCTTGCAAATATTCTCCCATGCCATTAATGTTTTTAAGCATATAATTTTGATCACTGCTGAATACTCTGTGTGATTAACGTACATAAATTATTTGCCTTCCATTATCAAATGGCTAATATGCCTACATCTTTTTCAAAAGATTCCTAGTATTGTTAATTACATGAGTGTTGGGGGAAGTATGTGCCCCTGGGTGCAGTTGCCTGGGGAGGCCAGAGGCAGTGGAACCCCCTAGAGCTGGAGATACAGGTGGTTGTGAGTCACTGGATGTGGGTGCTGGGAAGCAAACTCCAGTCTTCTGGAAGAGTAGTACATGTTCTTAACCACTGAGCCCCTGCTCACATCTTTTTTACTGTTCAAATAATACTTAAACCACATAATTCCTATGGAAGATTCAATATCCTTATACTGTTTTTGCCTTGGTATTAATTTAACCTGAATTCTAAGTCCAGGATTATATTATCCCTGTTCCATTTATTTGTCCCATCATTTTCCTTATGATTCATATATTTTTATAATTTAGCTACATCTTTAATTCTGAATATAGAGCTGTTTAGTGCTATATATTTAGTTTATAACTATAGTTATGAAAAGATTAAGAAAATAATAATAGGTAGATTAGGTCATAGGAATGAGACTATTTTGCCCACTCAGGAGGTTTAGGTATGTGTGGACACATTTTTTATTGTTATGACTTCAGGGAGGACAGCAGGGAGGGACTTTCCACTGCCTTTTACTGGATAGAGACTCCTAAACAGTCAATAATGCACAAGACAGCCATCCCCTCAAAAATTAATTATCCAACCCAAAATGTCAGTAGTACGGGGTTGAGAACACTTCTTCTAAACTCAAGACTTCACAGGATGTAAGGGAAACGTCCTGCTTGTCAAAAGTATACCATCTCTTGGTATCCTGTAGATAACACAGAGGAATGCTTAGTTTGACAAATGATGTAAGTCTAGAAGGATTATTAGCAATGCAAGAAGTTGTGCCTAAATGAACATTCCATCCAAATAAACATGCAAGAATAGTTTTCCTTGAAAATGTAGTTTAACCCTGGCTTGCTGAGTATTGATGTTAGTGATGGGGAGCTTTTGGTCAGCGAAGAATGCCAAAGCACTGTGTAGGTTAATAATATGCTGACAGAGGCATCTGGGACAAAGGAGAGATTCAAACATAAAAAGTTAATGGGAATAAATGTGAAGTCTTGCATTTGGGTCCAGAAATGAACTGTATAAACACAGGATGTAGAAGGCTTGACTTAATACCAAATATATGAAAAATGTGCTTGATGGTTTTAGTTGAGGGTAAGTTTAGCATGAGTCAACATGAGGATGTGCCTGCCAAAAACTTAATCCATTCTAGGCTACATTACTGGAAGTTCATGTTCAAAATGAAGAAACAATAATTCCTATTTTACACGGCTCAAGTAACACCTGGTATATCCTGAGTCTGTCTCACATGGAAAGTTGGTGCACTAAATTCCTTGTTTTCAGAAAAACACTGAAGGGCTTGGAGATACAGAGTCAAAACTTAGCTGACTTTGTGTGTTTGAAAAACTAGCAAATGGAAGAGGGGCTATATTTGTTTACAGCACCCTTTTTTAAAAATCTTATTCTACTTTATATTTTAGTTGTTCTACTGTTTGCTCAGTCACCCATCCATTTATTTATTTACTTTAAAATATTAGTGGAGCATTATCTTAAGAGAGGTAGCCTTTGG